GGTCGAGATATTCTGCCTCGGGTTGCTGCCAAATTGAATGTTTCCCCGATCAATGATGTAATTGCGATTCACAATGAAGACACATTTCAGCGTCCGATTTACGCGGGAAACGCGTTGGTCACTCTCAGATCTTTGGTACGTTCGAATTGGGTTAAACTGATGTTTCTTTATCTCCCGGACATCCTTTAGAAAGGTAGTGACTGTATGTATACGAATGTTTTATTTCAAGCCAGCTTTGATACATTCGACTCCTATCTGCTAACCTGGTGCAAATTTTTGAACCCTTCATTAGTAATTTTCTGGGAGTGGTACAGTTTCTACCGCAAATTGACTGCACGCATCTTCCTTCCCCCCCTGTACCCTCTAATACGGTCCGATGTTCAGGATCCGGTACGTTGTATGACCGTTCGTGCGACCGCTTTCCCAGCCGCGTCAACAATACCGACCAGTGCGAATCCGGCTCCGATCGAACAGTTGCCCGAGATTGAATCGAACAGTTGCGGCGCGGAGGCAGCATTGCTTACGGAATTTTTGTCCGTGGAACAGCACAAATCGGACCGACCCGAGCTGACATCAGCAGATGTGATCATTTCGGGTGGTCGTGGAATGAAGAGTGGTGAAAATTTCAAGGCGAGTATTTTGCAATGCTGAGGATTCGTTTTTTTCACATTATTTTCCTTTTTGTTTGTTTGACGAGGAGGCAGGGGAATAGTTACTTATTTTGTCTTATTGAATACTCCTCTTGTTTATTGCCACATCAGATCCTAATTACGTTTGTTTTGCTCATATATCCAGGCATGCTTTGGCCGAATACAGTACCCGCCGATCCGGACAGATTGAATTGAGAAGAGATCAATGAGATTAATGCTCGATCTATTAGGCATGGCAACCTTACCGAATGGCCTGGGTCGGATATGTCAGATTAGGTTAACCGGTGGAAACTCAAAGTTCACATTCAGTCAACAGGTGGAGATGCCGATCAAAGTGGTTTCATTTGTTGATGTTTTTGTTTCTATTCTGCTATTTCGACACATAAACTACCTCTGACATCATCTAGGTTGCCAATTGTTTGAACAAGTCTTCACCGAAATTTGTTTGCTTTTGACTGATCTCTTTTGATGTCACATTTACTTATGGTCAAAAAGGGACAAACTATAATCTCCAAAGAAACTGTCTAGAGTAAGGAATGTGGATAAGTAGTATTCACAAATGAACTAGTTTTACTGTGCGTACGCGTAAAAGATCGGGTTGAGGGCGTTAAACAATTTGAAATGAATGTCAGCAAGGAGCACCGCGGAACTTTGCCGAATCCCCCAAATAAGATATTTGCTTCGGGTGTTACAATTGTAAAGCCTATTATTCAAAAAGGTGCCGCAGAGAAGTTGACGTTTATCGTTAATCTTTTGCAGTTGTTTTCTCTCTGCTTGTTGTGTTTTCAAATGTTCTAACCAAGTCCTTTGTTAATAATAATAGTAATTTTTTGAACCACCTTCAGTTAAATACATAATCGTATAATCAATTTTCAGAATGAGTAAATCGACCAATCAAAGAGCAGCTGCGAGATACCAGAAAGTTGAGCATTGTTGGGGAGAGGTTCAAGCTCAAAACCTCCCAGGGTGATCCGATGATGACCCAAACGACTTAACATAATGTTACATGCACAAAAATATTGCTATCTATCTTGTATGCGATCGCAGATTATAGTAAGCTGCACGATCGATGACATTTTTCCCTCTGTTGAACTTTTCGAGCGTCAGATCAGGCAACATTTTTTCTGTGGTTCATAAGTATATCTTAGTGCTCGGTGGTAGTAGTACAGTTGAATATTAACTTCCATTGCCAGGTGGGTCTAATTTCTGTATTGTTTATATGCCTGATATATCTTGCTGGATTCTATTCTATCTTAAAAAATGGCACACAGACACTTTGATTTTGCAGTAATCTTGATTGCTGTCTCTCTGACTAATATGAATCCGTTTTCTTCCCTGTTTAACTCGAATCCATACAGATTTTATACGAGCTGGCCGATAAACTGAATGCAGCTGTGGGTGCTTCCCGAGCAGCAGTGGACGCGGGATTTGCGGCCAACGATATGCAGGTGATTATCCTGTTTCTTCCAGTTGCATGTTCCCTGGGAAACTCGATTGGATTATTCGGGTCATCTTTGATACCACTCTTCATTGATCCTCCCACTTTTTCTCTTCCGGTGGAAAACTAAGGCAATTATCCATTTGCATTTGCAGGTTAAGAAAATCCAGGGTTGCACGCTCCACAGTTTGCACTTCTGTTTTACAATGTTCATTTCCAATCTTACTCTGTAGCTATGGTTGTTCTTTGGTCTGTTTAAGAAAAGCAGCATTAGGGCGTGGATCGCTCATGATCTTCGGTGCGTTTTTGATTTCCTTCAATAATTGACTACCAAAGTTCATCAACTACACACACTGGCTTAGCGTCCTGTCATTCTCCTCTCCGCAGAAGATGGCAGTACTCACATAAATACTCCCAAATGTCGACCAACAGACAGCATATCAAAAGTAATTTTCTTGAAAAATTTCAATGTTTATTCCGCCATTCCCGTTAACTTGCGGCTTACTGAAACATACTGTAAGCGGTTCCCAAAATATTGCCACTGTACGGGCAATTGGATAAAAGTTATACAGTCTCAGGCACTCCGATGGCATTAGCTGTCTGTGGGAATATTTAGAGCACGTGCAATCTAACAAACTGCTGTTTGGTGTGCATCTTGCACCTTCAAAATGCAAGATTATCCTGCAAAACTGAATATTGTCCGTTCCTGCTCGGTGACCTATTACTTAGCAGTTGACTGTAATGAGTAGTTTCTATCTAGGCTATTGCGTCACTGCTGGTGATAACACACGAGCA